CCGAAGAAGTGGGCTGTAGTCCACGAAAGCTTATGCTCTAATAAATTTGTTAGTCTCTAAGGTGCCACAAGTCCTCCTGTTCTTCTTCTCACACAGGGGTGGCTTCCAATACGATTGGTGAGAACGAAGGGGATCATTTGGTGAAAAGTTTCTGGGCATAGCAGAAACCACTAACCCCACCAATCCCTCTCAGAGGCACACTCCTGCCTCCTTTCTTCCTGCCCCATCCCCAGAACCAAGTAAATACACAAACCTATGCAGGCTCCCCTGAATCTGTTCATCCACCTGATCACCCCACCGCAGTCCACACATGTTGGGCTTGCAACAAAGGCTTCTCTACAGGCTTCCACACGCAGATTCAAACTCTCACCCAGGACCAAAGTAAAATCTCCCCCAACGTCCTCTGGCTCTGCCTCCCTACACCTCCTAAAGCTGCCCCTTCAAGATAGCAAAGAGGAGACTATTTGGGGGCAGGAGGAGGAGGAAGAACTGCATTAGTAGCAGCAGCACCTACCTAGAAGAGCTGGTTAAAAGATGGAAAAAGAATGTTGAGGAAAAATAATTGAAATTTTGAAGTTGTTTCCATTTGGCAGGGGTCGAAACAGAATTCCTCCCCCCCCCCCCCCCAAAAAAAAAGTTGGGTTTTTTGGTTGTCAGAATTTCAAAATATCAAATGGTTGTGGTTTTCCCTTTTCCTTTTTTCCATTTTGCTATTCTGTCACTTTTTAAAACTCATCCACCTTTGGCAAAGTTAGTTTCGTTTTTTTTCCTTTTGCCACTCTTTAAAATTCTTTAAAATTCAGGAAGTTACACAGAATAGCAAAAAGAAAAAATGAAAAAAGGGTGTGTGGGGTGGGGGGAAACAATTACAAAGGGAAGAAGAGGAGAAAGGGGAGGACATAAAAATAAAATTGAAAAAACTTCAACTGACTCACCTTCACAGTGGCTGTAGCCTGAAAAAAAAAAGATATTTGCTAGAGTCTAAAGACATGTCTACACAACATTGTAAACCCAAATCTGTTGGACCCAGGATTATGGACTCTGTGTTTCCAAGCCCATGCTTGAGCATCCACACTGCATTGTAAACCTGGGTTTATAATTGCTGGACCTGGGTTTCACGGCCGTGCGAACGTGTCCATGCTGCACTACGATGACCTTCTCACTCAGGTCTGCATCTTGAGCTATGTCCACACTACAGACTGGCAAGGTGTGGACTCAAGTTACAGTAGGACTCAGGCTCTGACCCATCCCCCTAGCAGGGTCCTAGAACCTGGGACCTGAGGGCTTGCTGACTCAAGTCAGACGGATTTGTGTGTGGACAGAGAGGGGACTTGGGCTCAAACCTGAGTCAGAACCCGGACTTAGCGTGCAATATAGACATATCCTAAAGGTGATGTACTGGACCTACTGAAGTTAATGGGATTTTTACCACTGATTTCAGCAAGGTCACGATTTCACCTTCAATGCCTTTGACCATGGAATTTCATGGAATTGACTAGTAGAATTTCATGCTTGCTGAAGTGCTCAATCAATCATTGAACTTAAAAAGCCTGATCCAAAGCCCATTGACATCAATGGAAGACCTCCCATCGACTTTAATGGACTTTGGCCCAGGTCCCTAAGGGAACCTTCCATTATCTTCTTCTCTTTTCCAAAACAACCAGAAAGGAGCTACTTGATACAGATCATTTCACTTGGAACTGATCCTACAGGTTGTACCAATATGCATTTAGCAGACACACTATGTAATCAAAGTAAGTAAAATGTTTAATTTTGTTTAAATGTTTTTGTACACAGACAAAATCCTTGCTCCCATGAAAAAATGCAAGGGATTGCTTTTTTGGGAGGTGGGAGGGTGTTCTGTTTTATGGTTTTGGAAAGGTCATACAACTTGATGGATTTTATTGAATATTCTTTGGTAATTTCTATGTTTTCTGACCAATATACTTCACATTTATACAGTTAGGTAGTTAGCTCCATATGGAGATAACAGATCAAATTCTGCTGTACTTGGGATTCATGTCAACTCTGTAGAAATCAATGTCATTATTCTGGATTTACACCTTTGTGTTAAGAGCAGAATTCAGCCCTATGTTTACAGATAGAGAAGTGTTGAAGTTAAGCAGTTTTTTCAGGTGGAAATACTGCAAATGTTACACTGGATTAATTTGAACACCTGTCTCTTTGGACAATTTTCAAAGTCGTCCTTCAATTTTTTTAGAGTATAATTCTTGCTAGAGCTTGAAATGCTCTTTCCTGGCAGACTGCAAACTCCTTCTGGCCTGTGCACCAGTGAGATGCAGCACAAAGTGAAGACTGATCAAGTTATGCACTGTGGTTTTAGAAGGGTGTGAATATAAATGAGCAAACTCCACTTTGAGGATGTATATAAATTTTCACTTTGTCAACTTCCTACTTTGGGAGTGAATATACCAGTGAATTTGGTACTAAAATGAGTTTGTTTGCATTGTAACAAATTACTTTGGTCTTTTCTTGAGGAAAATTACTGTATGCTTAGTACATTCTCTAAATGTAAAATGCAAACTATTTTTCTATAAGGAAGTAAGTTACGTAGAGCCAGATTCTGCCACCCTTGCTCGCATTGAGAATGTGACTGCAATGTAACTACACAAGGACTAAGGTGCTTCTCAAAATGTCTGAGGCTATCACACGCTGCCCCATAATAAGTAGCTATTTGGGAGTGATTTAATACTTCTATTTGCTTGAAATGACATAACCAAAGGCTCTGTGGGACTCAAAAGATGTAGGAACATAAGTATTGCCATTCTAGATCAGATCAGTGACCCATCTAATCCAGGGTCCTATTTCCAACAGTGGCCACTACCTGACGTTTCAGAATAAGAGGCAAGAAATCATCTGCTGGGCAATTACAGAATAAATTACCCAAAAGGAAATTTCTCACTAACCCCTTTCCTTGGAGGGCGTGCTAAACCCTGAAGCATGAAAGTTTATATCCCTTCCAAACTAATGTAATGCTGGATGTTCTCATATAAACATCCAGGATAAACTCTTAACCTTAGTGATATAGGGTGGCAATGAGTGCCACAGGCTAATTGCATTTTGTGGGTTCTATTCATCAAGTGGTTTGAGATTCTTCAATGAAAGATGCTATGCAAGTGCAAAGCATTATTATTTTATACAATAACAGGTGATTAATATAGTCTTTTTTTACATATTCTTTTCTCCACTTTAGCTGGCCTGACCTTTGCATTCAACAAATGCTCTTGTCCCATGAATACTGCCACAGATGAAATAGTATTAGGTAGCAGTTATCTTCCACACTTCATGAATTCTTAGATGTTAAGGTTAGTATGGACTGCTGTGATGACCTACGCTAAACTTCTGTATAACACAGCCTGTAGAATTTCACCCAATAAGCCCTCCAGCAGAGGGAATTATTCTTTCTTCTGATATAATGACCCGATTCAGGAAAGCATCTTTATTCATGAAGACACTCAACTTTAAACTTTGAAATTAATGGTACTTAAGCACTTGTTTAAAGTTAACTTGTAGGTTAACTAGATCATATCTTTCAGAAAAACATCCAATCTCAATTTCAAGACTTCAACTGATGATGAATCACTTCCCCTAGTAATCTGTTCCAATGGTTAATTACCCTCACTGTGATCCTGGGTCTTCTTTCCAGCTGGTATTTCTCTAGTTTCATTCAACATCCATTCCTTAATTCCTAATCCGAGTTCCCCCATTGTGACTTTCCCCTCTGGTGTTATCTGGACCAGTGATCTGGTGAGGCTGGGCTGGGTTTGCCCCATTCATGCCCTGACAAGGTGTGAACTGCCTTTCTGTTCTTGGAGAGTTTTTGCATGGGTTTGCTTTAAGCCACGAGGATACATTTTCAGCCTCATAACTATATACATGAAATTATAACCTATAACCTTACTATAACCTTACTGTAACAATTACTATAACATCACAGGGTGTCTTCGGAAGGCTCATAATGCACTGAGTTATAGTGATGTTTATAGTCATTGTTACAGTAATGTTTCTTTACAGTAATGTAACTTTTTAGCTAAATGACAAACTTTGCATTGGATATCACACAATCATTTTATAAAGATGACCATGTGGATGTAGGGTGTTCCAACGAGGTACAGAGCGTCACACCCATGACCTGCACTCCTCTTGCCCTTCCTAAACTGGATGTTGCTTCCTGTTCTATTTTGTTGGAAACTCCCTAAGAAGGAGCAGTGTTTCCTGAAGTACTCAACATGGTTTGCAGTATTATGGGACGGGTGGAGTTAAAGAATAGTAAATGACTTATATCAGCATCAAAGCACTTGTTTGTTAGCAATGCAGCTGGCTACTCCCAGCAACAAAATATACTGTATACTCCAGTCTGGGGGACTAAGTGCTCATTAACCAAATAAACAAAGACTTTGGCACTTGCTTCCATAGAGTCTCACAAGACAAGTAATTAAGGAATCTTTGCATTCTGTCAGTTGCCACCCATTACAGTCTTTCTAAGGCTAATTAGCCAATACAGCTAACGGAACACCACTTTTGGCCAATTGTTACAGGAGATTATTATTAAAAAAAAAAAAGCAACCCAATAACTGTCCTTTTGTATTAGATACAGGTAAGTCTAAAATAGATGTTATTAATTTTCAGAGCTGGAGTCCTGGAATTAACAGATTCTTCCAGGCAGCAAGTGTTGGAGTCACTAATGTTTTTGAACTTTAACCATCTGAGCTGGTAATGAAGGGGTGGACAGATGGAAGGTTTGACTATTCCCTGCCAATGGAGGCTATTTTTTTTTAATTTTAGTTTCTCTGAAATTCCTTAAATGCAGCTCTTAGATACTTAAAGAAATTGTTTGCTTTAGCTAACTTGTTAATGTTTCTGTCTGTGTGAAGCTGGCATTTTACAGACTAAAGTGGTGTTTTGATTTTATTTCTGCTCCGGTGACTTGATTCCCCCCACCCGCCTTTTAGTTCATGGCAAGCTCGTTCAGATGTGATGAATTGCAGAATTGCTCAGGAGGTCCAGAAATAAAATTTCGTCTGCATTAAGGGCAGATCTTTTTTTTTTTTTTTTTACTTGTGCAAGAATAATGCCACTGTTTGCTCAGACTCAAGGCCGTAGCGCTTTCATAAAGTTTATCCAGGAAAGATGGAGCCAAATGGCTTATGCCTTAAACCCATGATATAAACCACTGCACAGCAGATTCTATTTTTACCTCCTGTTTTGATAAGTTCAGTACAGTCAGACGTGGCAGTTCAATATTTGGAGCAATAAAATGTAGCCTTTTCACAGCACCTTCCATCCCAAAGACTACACAAAATAGAGAGGTGCCAGTTCAGATCCACTGCAAAGCAGCCAAATGAGTCGGGATGACAGGCAGCACGCTCTGCAGTTGTGGGGAGACTTTTGATCAAGGGCAGCAGGGAAAATCTTTAATTTTCTTGTAGTACCACCCAATTTTCAAACTTCTATGTAGTAAAGACAGGACTTGGGCTTTGCAGTTTGCTCTGTGTCTCTTTCTGAAGAGACCTTAAAAGTACTCAATATACCTGCCTCAGAAGAAAGGCTGAGTTGGTCCTGCCTGGGTTTGAACCTTTGGTTGCACAGTGTGTAGCTGTTTCAGTGCAGCTGCTTAGACTACTAAGTCATGAGTCTCCAGCTCATATCAAGTCCATTCATATGGAGGGAGAAGAATTAATGTCAAACTTATAGCACAGATCATAAGTTGTGGGCATTGATTACATTTGCACTGTACATTCATCCTTCACCCCACCCACCCCCTACAGAAATGTAGTGTAGGAATCTAGCAAACCAGAAAAGATTTGGGAAATGAAATGATTACACTTAATTGTCCATGAAAATTTTAGCCAACTGCAGGTGTACTCAATTAACATCTCATTATAAAAACCTCCTGAACTTCAAATAAGCCATCAGCCTTGTATAGTGTAAATGAAGGGTATAATTGATAGCCACAGCAATGGTAGGTTAAGTGCTTTGATAACATTCTGGTTCTCCAGAGAAAGTCAGCTCTGTTTCATCAATATAAAGCATCAATATAAACGCCAAAGAAGTTTCATAGTTTAAATAAGTTTTCTGTAGCTGCAGTAGAAGAAAAGCAATAAAAGTCAGAAGGAATGACGGCATTGTGCAGCGGGAGCTTTTGATTTCTGGAATATTTTCCCTTTTTCGACATGGTTTTCAAAGGAAAATTGCTCTATCGGCATTTTTATGGCATTGGATAGAATAACGGGCTTGGCATGTACATGAAGTATGAAGAAACATCTGGGTCCATTTCCAACCTCACTTACACCAGAGCAAATCTGTTCACTTCAATATCTTACCCCAGTGTAAGAGATCTGAATTGGCCCCTATGTATCTAATCCTAGACCCACCCAAACAACCTTGACCTCCAGGAAGGTCCAGGTCTGGAACAATCTCTTTCATAAACCAGGATCCTTAGCGCAATGATTGATGAAACACTAGAAAGAAAATTTAACAAGCTATTTGATCCTTGCTCTTTCACTCACTGTAGTTGTTCAGGCCTTTGAACAGCAGAGGCTCAGTAGGTGTAGCAGCTGAGGGAAGCGCTGTTATTCCACAAATGGCCTTACTTCCTCTCCTTGAGAAAGGGCAAGTAGCCTCTCCTTGGGTGGTGAGGGAGGAAGTACATGATATTCCAAAACAAACTGAGGAGGATCCAACACCTCCAATTCCTTTCATTAATTTGCATTTAGGTTAATACCCTCTCCAGCTCTGACAGCTCAGATACACCAGTGAGGTGAGCCCCATAAAGTGCCTAGGCAGACATAAGAGGACAGGTAGTAGTATGTCTTTTCCCATGTCAATGCAAAAGCCCCATGTTCCTACATTTCAACTTGGCCACCAATGAGTAGTGCTTATACCCCCTGTTGCCTCCTTTGAGCAAGCTGCGGAGCAGTTGCAAGCATCCTCAGTGTATATATGTTTTTGCTTGTGTCCTTCCCATACTGAACACCAGGTTATCATGCCTTACATTGAGTTATGGACATATAGTGTAGGCTCTTCTTCCGAGGGATGAATATAGGATGATGCTACACCATGAGCAGGGGGAATCCAGCCTAGCTCACAGCCTTCCTTGGAATTCCCAGCACTCTCTCTTCCTCCTGGGTATGGAGGGAAGCACAAAATATGGTGAACAATTCAGTTTGAATGCAAAGTATCTCTTAATGACATGGCAAGCATAGAATGGCTGTCAAGGAGCCAGGAGAGGCCCCAACATCTTCTTTGGCTGGGATGGGAGAAGATGCAGAGGGAGCGGGACAGGAAGGACGAGTTTAAGAATCACTCAAGGAGAAAGGGACAAGCTCTAAGTGGGGTCTAGTTTGAGGTGGAGAGTTGGGACTCTGCTGGCTTTGCACCTCAGTTTCAGAATCTCTGATAAATGAAGCTCCTCTGAGTGGGTTTCCATTTAAAAGGTTATTTTGTGAACTCTGCATCTGAGGGGAAATTCACCCCTAGGAGAGGAGGGTGTGACCTGGTGTACCGTACGGCCTGACGAGGGAACACGCGCCAGATGGCAAGGTAAGCCTGGCTCCAGTTGGATGGAAGGTTAAGGATGAGGCTCAGCTGATCTCTGGAGCATCAGTCTCCTCAGCTGAATGCTACAGTGTTTAAATTGTGAAGCCCTGCGGCTACTGCAGTTCAGCTGTGTCCCCTGTTGTTTGATTAAACGATTTGCACTGTTTGCTTGTTTTCTGTCAATAAATATCTGCATTTGCAATTTCCTGGACTTTGAACCTATTTAACCAAGAGCAAGACTCCACAGGGAGGGACAGGTAGATATTAATAGGCTTTGCTTTTTTGCAAAGAGAACCCTAAAGGAATTCTAAAAAAGACACCACTTAAGGTGCACCATTGTTCAGAGGCCAGCACAGGTAGCTTTCTGCCAGCTTTCCCTCCCTCCAATCTTGGAAACATCTGGGGGGATGATTTAGAAGGGCCATGTATTCTATTGTATCAGATTCATGGTCATTCAGGACTTCATAATTATCACTATATCATGCACACTGGCCATCTACGTCACAGATCCTCCTGGTCCAAAATCATATGACCCTACCATTGAAACCAACGGATAATCTACATGAGGTATAGCCATACTACATTCCAAGCAAGGGAGAACAGTGGTGTTTCCACAGACTAGCAGAGTTGTGGGAAAAGTTTGAAAACGAAGTACCATCATCCATGCTTTGGCTTTTTATAGTGAACTTTCAAAATGTATCCAACTGCGTGTTCAACCTTGGAAATACAGCAAGTTTTAGGTTTTAAGAAGGCCTGGTTCTGTGTCAAAAGGAACACATTTTCACTGAAGAAAAAAGCCAAAAGAATTGCAAAATTCAGTCAGACCAAAATCAATTTTGCATCAACAAATATCTGAAATTACTATCATATCCTTGCTTGTGAAAAATGACTCCCATGTACATTTCATGAAAAAACAAAATGTACAATTCACACACAAAGGGTCTGGAAGGAACCAAAAAAATTCACAGAAAACTTAAAGCATCAGTTTTGCACAGCTCTGCTGATCTAATATCCATTTTATTACAAAAACCAGCAACCAACAGAGGCCCTGATCTAATGTCCACTGAGTCAATGGAAAAGCTTCCAGAACTTGAATGAGCTTTGGCTCAGGCCTAGAATCCATTATGAAGTTCAACACAATAACACACCATCTAGAGAATACAAGAAGATTGCACTCCCGCTCGGTGCAGGAAGGTTTGAGCACATCCTGGCCTACTGCATAGGAACTCTCCCTTTTTTTTTATTGTCTCAGCACTGCCATCAAGGGTCACCTAATGGACGGGCAGGAAGATGCACTGGCTTTGGTCAGGGGTTTTATCACTCTCCAATCATCTGCGGTAGAGATTTGCTGCTCCTCAGGAGCATCAGTCACATCACGTGATGGCAATTGTGCTCATTTTAGCTGTCATAACGCTATATCTAGGGAGACAGGACTATTATTTTACTGCTGAGAGGAGCCTCTTTGTTGTCTTAGGCTTTAAGAAAGAGGGAAAGGAGATCTTTTGATATTTGGCATGACTGGAGTTTATTCAATCATTTTTTGGGGAGGGTTTGCTTGCCCTATTCAAACATTTGTCACATCATGTATGCAGTTCCCACCCTACCCCCAAATAGCACACTTAATACACAGCATCATGATCTGCTTTAGAGAGAGAAATCAGGAAAGAAAAAGGAAAGCTTTTCCCTACATCTCAGCAAGAGCTAAAGGACGGATTCTTCTGTTCTATGAAGCTGCACAGCTGCATGAGCATATACTTTTACTCATAACTCCATAGCTCCTAGAGGAGGAGATGCTAGAGAGAAAGAAATGCTTTTCAGGCACATTCGCTTTCAGAAGAAAAACTGTGCAAACTGTTCATCAGATCTGACCTCCAGCAAGCAAGCCACTTCAAGCCTGCCAGTCCTCTGCAGCTACCACCACCAAGATCCACTACACAGCGTCTAGCCCCAATCGTCACCTGTAATTTAACTAGTCACAGCCAGGGTCACATGTAATAATTTTGTGGCGTGGCACAATAAATGAAAAGCCGCAAAACCCACCAACTCCAATCCTTCCATTTAAAATAAGAAGTTAATCCAGAAATTGCACTGGGATTCTCAAACTGCAAGGAAATTTCTGACTAATTTTAAATCTATGAATTTGGTTTATTGAATATCATGATCAAATTCTGGTGCTTGGCCTGGAATGCAAAGGCAGATCTAGTACTTAATAATAGTTTAGGCATTCAGCATTCCCTGGAAACTCATTGGTTGGGTCATTTAAAACTGGACTGAGAAAAGCCTCAGTAAATACACTGAAGGGAACAATTTTGCACTGGTCGAGAATGAATTGGGTGATCAAAGAAGTCTCTCTCCGTCTCAATATCTGTGACTCTATGGTTACCGAGCGGCCGGGAGGAATTAAAGCCCCAAAAGCACAATCGGGTCCTCAATCCCAAGGAAATTCTCTGTGACGAAGTGCTTATTTCTGTTGGCAACCAGGGGAAAAAGGAATACTCATTTCCATTTTTGTCATGCCATGACACTACTACTAGCCTCAGTCACTTTGGCCAAAGTAGCAGGCTTTAACTCTCTAGAAGTGCCTGGCACATGCGAGCTTATCCAATTTAAGTTTTTATTTTAAATCATCTGTTTCTTGGGCAGTGATTGAGAAGCGATTCCGGGGCCGGGAACAAGCAAACCAAGAACCTCACCTAAATTCATCCTCTTTTCTTTTACACTTAAAAGTATTCTCGTTCCAGGGCATCGTTAAATAGCTGCCAAGCTGCATCCCAGCAGGAGGTTGCACTTTAATACTAAGTGAAGGGAGAGTCGTACCTATTATTTACTGGACCCTTGCTCCCTGACCTCCCAACTTGGGCATGCATATAGGGACAACTGCAGTCTGGCCCCTTTGCTTTCTTATCACTCAGGTTTCCCTATAACGTACAAAGCTACAGTATTAACAGGGAAAATATATTGGTGGCTTTTAAGCTCTCTAATTAAATGCATAGGGCACTGCATCTGCATAGCTGAATTGAAAGACTCTGGCTCGGATGTTTTAATAAAGCCTAAATGAGTGCAGTGATGAGTGGCATGTTTTTGTCAGACAAGGCTCTGCAGGGTAATCACTAGGTGTGGCCATGAAGAGCAAAATTAAATGTGTGCCCTTTGCACCTAGAAAAATATCAAGAGACATTTTCCGCTCCGCTTCTGAATTCCCTTGAAGAGGGATCTGCTGGTCGGCATTAAATGTCACTGCCTGCAATTATGTTCATTTTAACTACAATGGAACTCATTATTCTAGTTAAAATAAATGTCCCAATCTTGGGAGACCCTCTTACTTAATCAAAACTACACCCACATGAAAAATTACCCTTTTACAGCTGTCCGATAATCAGCATTATCAGTTTAATGAATGGTCTCCTACTTTTATCTCTGAGGCTGCTTTGGCATTACTGCTGAGTGTATCGCATGTACTGTGAGGCCCCCAATCCAGCCTTTTTGGAATCTATTATTTCTTCTTCTTGTCCTGTTTTCCTATTGCTTCCTGCCACATCCATGTGCATCCAGTATGCCAGATCATTTCACTCTGCCAGGTCACTGGAAGAACATTTGTGCTCAAGTAGTTGGTGTCACAGGAGATGCTTCATCTTTTGAGGCATCCTACTGCAGCCACAGGTATTGGGGCCAGTGATGTAGTCCCACGTGATCACTGCATCTCTAGAGGAGCCAACTCCAGTGCAGAGTTGATTAAGGCAATGCCGTATAGTCCAGGGCTGGTCTTCCCTGAGGGGTAGGTGCTTGAGTGGTGGGAGCCAGATTGCACAGACTACAGAGGCATTCCCTACTCATTTGCCCTAACTGAACCCTTATCTGTTTGGGTGACAAGGTGAGGGGTTTAACAGTGGCAAGAAATCTTTTTCTGTGACTTCAGTCAGCCTTAAAGTTTGTGACTCCTCCTAAACACCTTGTACTACCACTTTTGAGCTTACTGATGTAATGCTACATTAGAGCACACTACAATATCCACACAGCAGTTCAGCGATCATTCATTTTGAATTCTGTGTGAACCTAGGTGTATTAGCCTCTTAACTACTCACTCCGCTAGTTCACAATTCTGTCCTGAGCACCTGGAGAACTTCTGAAGAATCCAGACTGTATCTTACTAAGCCACCTGGCAATGAGCAAAACCCTGTTTTCCATGTCTCCCAGCGAGAGCGTCCTGAACTGGAACACCAGAGCAGATCTGGATCAAAACTTCGCAGCAAGAGCCTAGGGGATGAAACCAAAACACCAAATCTGAATGTGCCCAAATGTTGTTAAAGCTCAGATTTGGATCCATATTTTGTGGTTCGGGCTTGTTCCAGTCATTACATGACTTTCAACATCCAATTCTCTTTCAGAGAAAACCGGGGGTAAGATTAATACCTCAATGGTGAGGGAGGAGAAGATGAAACAATGCTATGTTCATGCATTGAAATGCTTTGGCCATGGAGTCTGCTGTGTGAGATCCTGACCAGGATTGAATTCAAGCCTAAATAATAATCCATTTTATGAAGAGTAGCTGCCACACATGCAATGCTGCAGGACAGGAGCTGGGCAC